AAGAGTGTGCTGAACATCTGAGTTACTTATCTCATTCGTCTTCTGGTAAGACAGAAACACATAGGCAGAGTGAGTTTTTCTCTTGTGCTTGTCAGTTGAGTGCTACATCTCACCAGGTCCTTAGAACAAGGCAGCCAGAACTAACATGTAGTTAACAGATAGTAAATTTTTTTTTCAGTTCCTGCTGGGTGAAAACTCCACTTTCCTCAGACAGGAGTCTTTTCTTCCCAGCTGTAAATTAGCAGAACCCTGACAACTCTCTGGCTGGGGCAGTCTCTGATCCCACCTTCCTTCTTTTTCTGTGATCAGGACGTGGGAAATATTTACAGCTGCCCTCCTAAGCAGCACCAGAAAACTGGGGAAAGCTTAAGCAGCACAGACTTGAAATAATATTTTTAAAATAAGGTTTTTTTAATTGAGCTGAATATTTTCTATTTGTTTGGGTTTTTTTCTTCCTGTAAATAAGTGGGGAAAAAAAATTAAAAAACAAGAAGCATGACTAAAACTTCTCAATATAGTCTTTCCTAGACCAAAACACAGCTCCCTTCAAACTTCTTAGCCAATTGACTTTTTCTTACCTCAGTCTTTTCAGGTCATTAACCCATTTGTCTCCCATCCTTCTTTTGTAGTTGATTTCTTCTTCTTCTTCTACAATCTCACGAATTTTATGTTTTAAACATGGATCTTGCACTACCACAAAGGTCCAGGGCTCAGTGTGAGCTCCACTGGGTGAAGTACCTTAGTACAAAAACAGGGAAAGATGAAAACCCAGTTGGCACAATGCTGAAGGAAGGTGTGCGGTGAGAGGTATCAGCTCTTCCTTATGGGTTTTCATACTGACCCACAGAGCGATGGGAAAGCAAGTTGATGAGATGGGAACAAAAGGACTAGCAGACAATCTCTGTTCATTTGTTTCTCAAAGAATGTTAAGTCCCATTACACGACAGAGGTTAGTCCTTTCATACAGCCATCTCATAGGAAACAAAAGCTAAGCATTTCTAAAAATTCTTTTGTGGTTCTTATGATGAGGTAATATTAGTCTGTGATTCTATGATTATGGTGCAGTATATACACACGTAATGTTAATGCAAAGCCTTATACCCAAAGCAACACACCATTTGAATATGCAACCAACTCTGAGACACGGTTTTAGCTGAAGGGCAAAGCTAATGGCTTTCAGGGAAGTAAGGCTAAGTGACCACCACAGGAATCTGTCGCTGACTGACAAAGATGAGGAGCTGCACAATGCAGACATCTGTCACATGGCATACAGGTTTGAGTCTGGTGTCCCAAAGACAGCTGGTGTATGTAGGTGTGCCCGTATCAAATCTGCACTTGCTCATTCAGCCCTGGTCATTACACACTAACACCTTTGGAGAATATTTTAACTATCCAGCAGATGAAAGCCAGAAGCTGAAGAATATAGTTATCTGTACAAGATCACAGAGAAACAGGTTAAGGAGACCGTTCCGGTCTCTCTAGCATCTCATACACATTTTAAAAACATTTGAAGGTCTTGAATACATACAATATTTTCTTACCTAAGCATTGATTTTATTTTGAGAAACATTGAATAAGCAGCTTGAACAATCTTTTATATTAAAATGCGTTTTTATGGTGAACCTTGCCTCTCCTCAGGTTTGGGTAAGAACCGATGACATTTATGCTTTGCTTTGTTTTCTTTTCCTCCACACTGCCCAAAGCTTTCAGGGTTACTAAGTACTTCATCTGCACTCCAGGCTTGTTCGCTTTGCTGCATTTGCCAAAACATGCTCAGTGTTTTAATGACTCCCAGCTAATTAGAGGAAGATGGAGACTCGTTACGGTGCAGTAACAAAGCTGCTTATCATTTTTAAAGGGAAAACAATGCACTTCAAATGCTAAGAATCTCTATATTATTAGTCCTGCTAGAGGCTACTGAACTTTTCTCTAAGGCAGCTTGTGAATATTTTCTATAACAACGGTGACTGCTTCCTAGAGTAAGAGAAATAATGACGGTCAAAACCACTCCTGGCTGAAGTCAATGTTAGTAAAGCAAAGATGAGACTGGGTCAGGACATTACAGCAATGATTCGAAACACATACCTGCTGAAAAAAAAAGGAACACTTTTCTGACACTTAGTCAAATAACCTTGATCAGGGTCCTCAGCATAACTCTCCAGTCTTATAGCATAAGCAGCTGGTACTGATGCTGAAAGGACTGGAAAAGTTTTCGTTCTAGACTGAAACTTTTTTCCCCATAATAAACCCCAAGCATTTGTCAATCAAAATATTTTGCATGGCTGAGACAATTTTATCGGTTTGTTTTGGGGAAAAAAACAACCAAACAAAACCCACACATGACAAATATCGTCATAAAGAATGACATTTTAAAGCATATGAAGTACACATGGTTTGACATTTTTGAGATAAAACACTTCAATATTTCTATCTATTTCACTAAACTGTACATCAATTTTATTTTAAATAATATCATTTAAAGCTTGAAAATTAAATGTTTGTTTCATGCTGTTTAAATGGTTTTTTTTCCCCTTTTGGGTGCACTGCAAATACAAAGGAATTGGGAATGCTCCAAACCAATCCCCAACATACAGTTGTTCAAGCTGAATAATTTCCAATCCATCAATGGGTTCTCATTCATTATGCCTACAGATGAATGTAGGAAAACCAGAAGGCAAGTGCCAGTTCCCTTGGCATTTCCACATCCTTTTTACATAGCTGAACAGCAATGCTGAAGCTTCCCTCCCCCCCGCCCCCCCAAGACATTGAACTTCTCAGGACCATACCTGCTGTTCTGATGACATTATCGATAACCTCCCTGGGGACCGGCTCATCACTGAGAAACCTGACAGATCGCCTCTTATTAAGAAGCTCATAAAACATCTGTGACCTTTTAATCATTTCGGCTTCAGAGTAGCGCTCCGCAAAGAAGGGGACATGGGCAACATTTTCATCAAGTCCTTGCCACTCTTCATCAACCTCTGCAAGAAAATGGAAGTGGTTAGGGATTTTTTTTTTCTGGAGAACACTATTTATATCTTTGGCATTCACCACCGTAACGCGCTTTGGCCTGCATTGATATACATTGCACTTCTACACCACTGGAAAGGCAAAGTCTGAGGTTCCAGTTGACACAACTCATTGATCCCTAGCTCCAGCTGCTGAATAAACACCTTGTTTAAATACCAAGAGGCAGGAGGGTCCTGGGTGGCTGCAGCAAGTGTGATCCACAAAGAAATTGTGGTCTTCTCCACTTCAGTCCGCAAGCCTGCCTGTAAAAATGGGTTGCAAGCTGGAACAACCGTGAATAGGTGGCCAACATTTCAGCTCACTTTTCTCAGTAAGTAAATGTGAACGTGTGCTCCCTCTTGAGCAGTCTAATAAGAAAAAAATCAATTAAATTACTGAAGTTAAGGAAAGGGTTTAACTACCAATATGTGTAAAATCTCCTCTGAGGAGCTGAATGTTGGCTTCTTCCATATTCATGTTCATAGCAGAAGCATTACAAGTCTAGGCTCTGCGCAAATGTGACTTTGTGGTGAAGTTCTTTGGTTTCACGATACTTTCAGCATAAAAGGAAATGTATGACAGGCATCTATACTTAGGATAACAACATATCAAATGTAGGATATCATGTTTCTTGTATTTAATTTAAGAACTCAAAATGGTTCCTCATTTCACTGAAATCTGTCTCTCTGGGTTTTTTTTATATCACAAAATGCATCTTCTGTTATCTCTGAGATCTTCTTTCTCCCCTACATTGCTAGAATCAGCAGGGATAGCATTTTTTGCAACTATGACGTGGAAGTTAAAGCCATTTAAATTTTGCATTTTGACTAGTCAATAGTATTGAGCAATCTGCTACGGAGGGCTGAGTCAGGAAAAAATACTCCAGTACTTTTTCAGTCACCATTAGGCTATTATTCCAGAATCATAGCAATCTCCAGTGCAAATTCAAACAGCAATTATTTCTGTGTTTTAGTAGTGTGCGGTTGCCTTAGAGACCAGGCTGATTTTTTGTTAGTTTTGTAAACAGCAGTGAAACATTCACAAGTGCAGCTCAGCATGTGTAAGAGGCTGCAATGTATCCAGTTTCTTATGTTGAATCTAAAGAGAATGATTCTGGTCGACAAACAACACCCATTTCATTTTGCATACAAAGAAGTCACCCAGAAAGTTTGTTTTGTTTAGCATTTCATGACTATGTCAAGCATTCTCAGTCACAGTCTGCAAGGACCTGGCTCCAGGGTAATGGGAAGCAGTGACCCATTGTAAAAATTATTTTTGTGACCATCTTGCACACTCAAACTGAAAAAGGCAGAGGATGCCTCTTCCTAGTGTTCCCTTTGTGGTTTGGACTAGGACTTGCCCTTTTTTAGGATTCTGGTGATCTCTCTCAGAAACTTTCACATCCCCTTTTTTGTTGTTCCTCCTTCACAATCAGTGAAGGAAATACGACAGGGTTACAAAGGCTATGTTTACACTAGTGAGTAGGGTGGTGCAATAGGAAGTTGAGAGGAAGATGTTCGGCCCTCTTCAACATCTTTGTCGGTGACGTGGACAGTGGCATGGAGTGCACCCTCAGCAAGTTTGCCGATGACACCAAGCTGTGTGGTGCTGTTGACACGCTGGAAGGGAGGGATGCCATCCAGAGGGACCTCGACAGGCTGGAGAGGTGGGCCCGTACCAACCTCATGAAGTTCAACCAGGCCAAATGCAAGGTCCTACATCTGGGTCGTGGCAATCCCAGGCACAAATACAGGCTGGGCGGAGAATGGATCGAGAGCAGCCCTGAGGAGAAGGACTTGGGAGTACTGGTGGACGAGAAGCTCAATATGAGCCGGCAATGTGCTCTTGCGGCCCAGAAGGCCAACCGCGTCCTGGGCTGCATCAAGAGGAGCGTGGCCAGCAGGTCGAGAGAGGTGATTCTTCCCCTCTACTCTGCCCTCGTGAGACCTCACCTGGAGTACTGCGTCCAGTTCTGGAGCCCCCAACATAAGAAGGACATGGACCAGTTGGAGAGGGTCCAGAGGAGGGCCACGAAGATGATAAGAGGGCTGGAGCACCTTTCCTATGAGGACAGGCTGAAAGAGTTGGGGCTGTTCAACCTGGAGAAGAGGAGGCTCCGGAGTGACCTTATAGCGGTCTTCCAGTACCTCAAGGGGGCCTACAGAAACGATGGGGAGAGGCTGTTCAGGAGGGCCAGTTGTGATAGGACAAGGGGTAATGGTTTTAAAATAGAGGGAGGTAGATTCAGATTGGATATTAGGAAAAAATTTTTTACCATGAGAGTTGTAGAACACTGGAACAGGTTGCCCAGAGAGGTGGTGGATGCTCCATCCCTGGAGACATTCAAGGCCAGGTTGGACGAGGCCCTGAGCAACCTGATCTAGTTGGAGATGTCCCTGTTCCTTGCAGGGGGGTTGGACTAGATGACCTTTGAAGGTCCCTTCCAGCCCTAACTATTCTATGATTCTATGATTCTCTGTTATGCTGAGGACCCAGGGTTCAACAACCTACATGTTTTAGAGTGGTAGGGTAGCTGGGGAGGGGAGGCAGGGAGCCAGTTAGAGCTCTGCATCCTTCCCACCCCTTCTATGCTATGCATGGTACCATAGGATGCCATTTCCAAGGACCACTATGTTAAGCTGGTAAAAACCAATATGCAATCTCTTCTTGAAAATTCACAGGGAATGCAGTTGTGGAATAGTTCGCAGGATGCATATCTGTGCCTCTCACATCTCTGCCTGCTGGTTTGGAAGGTGTAACCCTCAGCTCAGGGAGCAGGGCCCATGTAATCAAAGGCACAGTGACCTTAGTTCAGTTTTACTGAGACAATTGCTGTGAAGATATGAGAAAGAACATGAGCTAAAGCCATACTAGATAAAGAAAAAAAATGGTAAAAGTTACAGTAAAAAACCTTCCATAGACAGAAGTTGAGACAGTGATGGCTGGCAGCCAGAAGACTTGAGTGAAAAAGGGATGGCCCAAAAATACATAAAACTCTAAGGGAAAAAGCAGGGAGTGGGGAGATGGCAACTTGGAAACCCTTTCTGACTTGTCTGAGGACTGTCTGGCCAGTGGAGAAATTCAGAAGGTGCCTCATTAGGACTGGTAAACATATCTCTGCTCAGACTAGTAGCTCATCAGCCCTGCCTATCTTAACTGTATGAGCCAATCCATAATCACTTTGTAGTCTTAAATTATATGTAACCTGTATGCAGAATTTCTTCACATGCTGTAAAAGTGACACAGAGCAGGAGGGTTACAGAGAGAGAACACTTTTCTCAGGCCGCTTGATATAGACAGGACAGAAAATCATGCAGGCTTTGGGCACATAACCTCTCCTACAAGCTCCTCTCGAAGGACTTACACATCTGGAAGCTGAATAGCCTCCTGCAACTGTCTTGATTGGTACAATAAAATAAATTCTCCTTCTCCAAATCCATCTTGTGTATAGCAGTACTGCTCCTACAACAAAGATATTAGTTGCTAAACTGAGATTTAGCAGTTACACAGAATGACACACATCTGAATTTAATCCATAGGCACTCACATAGGAGGAGTTTCTAAATGGGAGAAATAATTTCTTTATGACAAAATTTCCTGAAATCAGCTGAGGTTGTGCGTTGTCTATCAGCAGGCAGAGTCTGACCAGAAAACTATGCTGAAAGCAGGTATTGGATTAGTGTCTTGGTGAAAATTTCAGGTCAGACTACAGTATTTGTGCTTATATCAATGTGTTGTAGTGATCATCCCTGTCTGTTTCCCAAGCCTGCAATGTTGAATGTCCTGGGAAATAGAAATAGACTATTTCTAGCCTAGAAACAGTCAAATAAAACTAACTGCAGGACCCAAGAGTTCTTATGTGCTCTCACTGTTTACTTTCTTACAATAAGGTTTCATCAAAGCTCAGGAAATAGAAAATAGTATATATTCAATGCGTTGTATGTTTTATTCAGCCACTGATGGAGAAGACTTGATGGTCTAACCTTGTCTCTTAAGCAAATCCAAGCCCTGCTTAGTCATCTCTTTTTCTAGTAATATTGCAAAACCACCAATAATCATTTTGAGTTAGAGATAACCAAGACTAGTCTATAAAATACTGACAATCTTTACAAACGATGTTTGTCAAATCAGAGCAAAGGCTGGAGAAAATTAAAAAGTAGCATGGCTAAAAAAAGGGTTGCTTTTTGAGATGCACTTTTTTTTGAGATGAGGTTTTCTGGGATAGTGTGAAGCTTACAAAGCACCCCCAAGGTCACATCTAGATCAGGTCACATGTTTAAGAGAGAGCCACAATATAATTACTGTGAAGTACATGGCAGAAGCATAGCTATAGGCTGAAGAGGAAATATTATGATAATACTAGAAACCAGGCTTCCCAGCTGAAACATCCAATACCTGAATCAAATAACCTGTTTTTCTCTTGGTGCAGTGACCTTCTTAGGTTTGGTTTCAGTGAGAGAGGAGGATGTCATTAAAAAAAAAGAACCCCTAAACTGAGATTATCAGTTCATTCCATTTAATTGACTAAATGAAAGGGTAAGGAAAAGCAAGTCTATAATTGTAGCTCTCAATTTTTAAGGGAACGAACTTGAGTAAAACAAGAGATTAAGAAAAATTAAGTTACAGAACTCAGATTAAAGATCTCAGGGATCAGGAAGCAGATAGATTTGGCATTTCTGTAAATCAGAGGTATAAAATTCATCTTAGATGTAATTGGTTGAATAAACACCTCAACTAAATGATCTATAGGCAACTAGCATAGGAAGAAAATAATTTGTTAGCACAGAAACCTAGGCCTTGTAAGTCAGAGAGTATAAAACTTGCCGTATTACCTAAGGTCAAACAGAGTTAAATTTTGAGAGGTTTTTTTGCTTGTTCTGGTTTGTTTTTTTTCTATATAAGTAGAAGAGAAGGAAAGAAGCGAAGCTGCTGTGTAGTCAAGATGGTTCAACTTAATAACAACACTGTGAAA